AGATAAAGTAAAGGACCCCTCCCTTCCCTTCCTCTACATTTTTCTCAATCCAAATATAAGGTAAAAGTTTTGATGGTTAATTGTAACAAAAAAAATCTTAAGATTAATTTTTTAATTTATAAAAGTTAAGGGATTAAATATTATATATGGATACTTTGTTTTAAAATAGAAATCATTTCCTTTAGCCAAATATATTTTCTAAAATTTTTATTTTTCAACAAGAATAATGATAAATGAAACTAAAATTTGGGCCAAAATCTAAGGTCAATAATGTGGCATAAATCACATTTTTAAAATATTAAAAGGTGAACCTTATATTATTTAGCAATTAATTTTTTTTACTTTTTTAAAACTCATAATATTATATGCATTAATTAATTTAATCATATAACTTATGTTACATCATTAGTTCTAAAATTTCGTTCTCCTTATCATTACTCTTTCAACACACATGAAAAGAAAAACTATCTTCTGAAAAAAGAATAGGGAAATGGAAAATGAAAAATAGAGAAAATTCTCTCTTCCCAAACACACACTAATATTTTCGTGCAGCAGATCTCGAGAGAGTTATTGCGGATGATTTCCTTCTTAAAAATCTCAGATTGAAATGGTTAATCAAGGGAGGTAATATGCTGGATTTTAAGGGTCGGATGGATTTTCTAGTGAATGTTGGAGATAAAATAGGAGGCGAAGGTGGGGAATATCCCCATAGAATCTAGTTTTCTTCAGCAAAGGTTAGAGCATAGATTGACTCAGCGAATGGACTTTCTCAAGTGATTAATTCTAGGTGTCAAGACTCAAGACTAACAAAAATAATTAAATCCTCATATTGTGCATGTCGTAGAGTTCGGTTCTTGGGACTTTCGCAAGCTACCTATTGTGAATTTAGATCAATTATATAGAGTATAAAAACTTATTCAATACTATTTACAAAAGAGTAACTTAACTGGTTAAAAACCTAAAATTGGGATCTTGAATTAGATAAAGAAAAATTTGAGAAAATTACCAAAAAATAAATAAATAAATCTTGTTCAATACTGAGTGGGATTGGTGATAGTTATGCTCCGTTTTCCCTTATTATTACTCTTGCATTTTAGGCTATTTTAAGGGCAAGTTAAATGGTAATATCATCCTCCTAAACGGACAATGAAGCACAGAAAGACAAGTCTCCAAAGATAATAGAAATCGGTAATAATTTACAATACACCCAGAACATTCTCCTTAATGTGGAAAGTGATATCTCTCCATTCACTTTCTCAATCTAGATTATAACAGTCTATATAGACAAACAACCTTACTACGATCACAAGTAAAGAGCATAATATTTTTGAAAGACATAAGACTTCCAAAAACCAAGATCCAAACTTTGTTTGAAATTGCCTCGGTCTCTGTACGTATGATCGAGGTATTTAGTTTGGGATTTTCAAGCTCTTGCTGGGGGTTTTGGGTCATGGTTTTTGTTGGCTCCAGGCCCTGGATAGTCTTTCAACATCCTCTCTTCAATTGACCCTTCTCCTTCTCCATGCTGCTCCTCAGTCACATCCATTGCCTCCTGCAAAAGGGCAAAGCAATTTTGTTCAAAAAGCAACGTAAATGAAGAAGAATAAAGAAATAAAGGTTTTTCTTTTTTACATAATAATTAGTATATTTTTCAATTCAATATATCTCATCATACATTTATTAAAAAATTATTATTTTTAAATTTAAATTAAAAACAAAAAAACTAAAAGTTATAGAATTTAATGTCTAAACCAATAGATATTGTAAAGTGTAGTAAACTAGAAAGTATATCAATCAATTTCTTTTTCTTTTTTAAAGGTAATATACCATATAACATGGGATATCCTCTTTGTAAATGCCTCTCCATTTCTCTTTAGATTCCAACCGCAACCTTATAAAATCTCCAACATAAAAACTCTTTTTTTTTTTTTTCTTTTTTAAGTTTGGACAGTTACAGTGTTCTTAGATTAGCTTCAAGGTACATCAAGACTAATCACATTTCAGCGATTTTAAGGACGCATCCTCCACAATAAAAATAGTGTATTTAAGGAAATTAATTTTCTTGGATGCTGATTTCAAGACTCTGACCTTGATTCAGTTTACAAAAAAATACTTATTTATTAGTAAATCTAATTTTTAAAATTAAAAACTCAAATTCTTAACTATTGACTTATCCTTGATTGAGAACAAATTTAAAGGGGTCTAAGGCTAGATTATTCCTTCATATGTTTGCTAGGAAAAATTTTAGTTTTACTACACCCATCTGGGATTGGAAGTTGATTTTAAAACTTCCAACTTTTTAACTTGAAAAATTAAAAAGCTTTTAATATTTTTAGCTTCAAGACATGTAATTGAAAACTAAAGAGAGGAGAAGAGAAGAAACCTCAGAAAATAAATCTGGGACGGAGGCTGACTGTTCCTTGATGTGCTTGAGGTGGCTTCCTAACAACCAAAAAATAAAATCATACACATAAGTACAGAAAAATAAACCAAAATGTTAACATAAAATCCATTAAATTTGAATTCTCTGTATAATTTTACTCTAAGAGCTGACCCTTACTTGAGGTAGGAACTGCAGCAGTTGGACATAGGTGCAGAAGAAGAAGAATGTAAGAGAAAGCAAGAAAGAGTAGCATCAGTCTAGCAAAAGTCCTCTGCTTCATGCTGAGAACAAGCAAAAAAGAAGAAAGATTTTGGTGATGGACAAGAGAGAGTATTTAGTGCTTTATATAGAGGACAGAAATTTGTGTTGAATTTTATATGAATGGAAGAATAAATGGTACTCTTGCGCATCACACCCATAGTCACATACACAAAGTCAACTTCTTCCGCTTTAATTTTATTTTAATTTATGTGTTTCTTTGGCGAGGGGTGAGCTCCCACTAGCCCAACTTTATCACCTTTTAGCTTTTGTCGTTTTTATACCATGAAACAAATGAGTTTTGCCTCCAAAAATTAAAATATAAGAGAAATGAAAATTAAGATATTTTAATTTTTAAAATGTCAAAATTATTTGTAAAAGTTTTTAAATATTTTTGATAAATATTTTATCAAAAATATTTGAATAATTTTATAAATAATTTTGATATTTTTAATTGTTAGAATGTTTTAAATTTTTTTAATATCTTAGAACTATTTTGAGATTACATGAAGAAAATATATTCATGTATTTTTCATGTCAAACTGTATAATAAAGTGAAGTTTAGAAACCAAAATTATTAAAATGCTATTAATAAAATAATATGAGAAAATTTTTTATTAGGAAAATTTTAATAAATTATAAGTTGAATAATCTTTATCTTATAGTCCGACTATAAAACACATTTTTAATAAAGAAAATGTGGTAAATATTCTCTTGTGACTTGGGGGTTAGGTGATAAACCTCTGTTCGTACATCTTGAATCTCCAATATTTCTCGCATGCACTTAATAGTTGACAACATGATGAGAAACCAATCTTTTAATTACTTTTTAACTTAATTTATTTTATATTTTCTTTTACATTATAATAGTAGCAACGATATCTGTGTTTATTCCCTGCTTAAGACTTTTTCGGTTGTCATTTGAGTTGATGAATGACTACTAGCTCTTTTCCATTAAAAACACGATAGGCAATTTCTATGTTCGTTATAGCTTTAGAAGATTTTGGATTCTAAAATTTTGATTTTGGTGGTGGCATACCTACCACTCAAATCTGTCTTTTTTTCACGAAGAAAATGATAGCTACGCAACTTCTACGTCACTACATGCAACATTTCTTAGGATTTGCACTTTGGGTGTATGCCTTCCATTTAAATCTATTTTTGAAATGTATCTCAAATATTTGATTAATTAAATTGCCCAACATGTTAGCATCCATTTGTCCTTTAGGAATCTTGAAAGTTGACGAAGGATGAGAAGTAGACTTTATTTTTTGTGCTCAAGTTGACCTAAGATTCCAACAGAACTGTTTCCAGAAAAAAAAAATGATAGTCTCTACAAATTAGATTTATTGATAACTAAGTACTTTTTTTGAAAGTTAGGTTAAAACTTTAAGTCTTAAGACGAGCATTGAATGAATTGGACTAATGTGGAATATACACTCTTAAAATTGCTTAATTAGAAATTAATTTTAAAATATATGAAAGTTGACTTAAATATACTTTTCTTCCAAAAAAAAAAAAATGATGCCGATTGGACTTTCTTTGTGCAAACAAAGCTTGACAATTGCAATTTTGATGCCAAAATTTGCTCGTTTACTATGGCCCAAATTAAAGGCTACACCCTAGTTAGGTTTTCTTCATAATTTTTTTTTTTGCCCAACATGGGAATTGGGGGATGGAGGGAAGTACATTCAATGATCCTTAGGTAGAATTCAAAACCCCAACCGAAGTGACTTAAGGAACCAAGTCTTGGAGTTGAACCACTCGACCACCATTGGCGGTTCTTCTTCATAAAATTTTTAAGTGCATAGTAATATGCATATTTATCAGTAGGCCTAATGAGGCTATGGTAAGTCACATATTAGAAAAAAACATTTCTTGAACCTTTGCCCTAATTAGGAAAGTAAACACAAATTTAAAATTAGGCCAAAGGTTCAAATCCCTTAAAGTTTTATTTTCTTCGGTAAAAGAGGAATATATTAATACACTATATTAATTGCTTTCTTGTTTTATGGGCAAGTCAAGGATGCTTACTTGGCAAGTCAAGGATGCTTAAGATCTGAGCGAATTTTCGAAGAACAAGTTTTATCTTATTTTTATGTTCTTTTTTTCCAACTATCTTATTATTATGTTATTCTTAATTTTAGGAAGTGCATCATTATCTTTGTTTCTTTGACAAGATCAATAAACTTTCCTCAAACCTAAGAAACTTTAGTGGGTTGAAGATGGTGACATTGTAAAGTCCTTTGTACCGTGCTAACTATTTTAATTTTTTTAATTACAAAATGAAATTAACGGAGATTTCACAGAAAAAAATCTGTTGTATTGGAACCTCCTAAAAATTAAATTTTGATAAATAAAGCGAGAGGCAATGCCTTAATAAATATTGCCAATTGATGCCTAGGTGTGATGAGCCTTTTCCCAGCATTTTCTCAAACTTTCCAAATAGTGGGCAGGTAGGTGTCATGTAAGTCCAAGACATATTCTTGCTTTCTTCTTTGAATATATTACTTTTAAATCAGCTAAAGCAAAAAGGTTTTACCAATTGTTGGATGGAGAGCACATGGAGTGACTCACATATTTTAAGGACGATGAATTTTCTTTAAAATGTTGTTGGCTAATATTTCAATTATCTTTTTTTTTTTTTTGATGAATCAAAAGTGTTATTAATAAAAGAGTACAA